ATCCCATCCCATCCTGCCCCATCCCATCCCACTCCATCCCACCCCATCCCATCCTGTTGCACCCCATCTCATCCCATCCTGTCCCAGCCCATCCTGCCCCATCCCACTCCATCCCACTCCATCCCATCCCACCGCAGCCCCTTGGCCAGCTCCCTGCCTTGCCCAGCCGGCAGAAAGGACACCGCTCTCCCATAGCACGTGAAATAAACATTTATTTGGTGGCTGTACCCAGCAGACAGGCGCTGGCGGGGGCGGCAGCGCTGGTGCCCAACTGGTGGATGTGGTGCAGGGTTCTGTCAGCACCATCCCTCAGCACCCGGGACCTTCGCGGGCTGTTCCCGGAGGATGACGCAGGTTTAGAGTCATCTTTAGAGTCATCATTAGAGTCCTTCCCATGAGGATGTTGGGTAGCCTGAACCAGGGCACCGCCTTGCCATCACGGGGCACGAAGTCCTTCCTCTTTTTGAAGCATCTCCATTATTTTCTCCACCCAAGACTCATCTGGTCTTGCGCAGAGCTTGGTCCCGTTCTTGGTCTCAAACCTGCCGAGATGAAAGGCGAAGCTCAGTGAGAAATGGCAGCTGTGATCCCCCCTGTGTCTGTGCCATCCTCCCTTCCCTGCACTCCTCCTCCTTTCCCTGTTCTCCCCAGTGTCCTGCAAGTGGCTCACCCTGCAGCCCAGCGCCCCGCGCCCTGTGCAGAGCCTCCAGGAGCTGCGATGGGCTCGTGTCCTTAACCCTGCCCCGCAGAACCGGCCAGAGAGTCATGTCCTCCCCGATTCATGCTGGGAGATGACTCGTGGAGACCGTGCAGTGCCCTGTCCCCAGGTGGGACAGATGGACCGACCCCGTGGCAGCCCAGCAGACAGCACAGCAGTGGAGAAATCACCAGGACTTACACAATTGCAGAGTCAAAACACTCCTTGGAAGTCATGTAGAAACCCTTCAGGTTTTTCACCCGAGGTCTGGCCTTAATGTAATTGTAGCAGCACTCGAGTGGCGTGTAAGGGGCTGGAGAAGACAAAGAGACACAGTGAGCATTGGGAAGCAGCCTTTCAGACCTTCTCCCACGACAAGGCTGATGCACACAACATCCCCCGAGTTCTGCAGATGCTGCCATGAGGAGCTCCAGGTGCCCTCCTTCCTCCCCGGGGCAGGAGGATGCTCCAGGTCATGGTCCAGCACCAGCTTTGCCGATGCCGCCCGGTCCCGGGAGCAGCCCCCATCCTCCCTGCCTCGACTGGGGGGTTTCTCCTCCCGCCAGCAGCACCGGCCCTGCTCGTCGCTGGGGTTTCTTGCATTATGTCCCCTATGGGACGACCCCAAGCACTGACCCACAGCGGTAGCCCGGGAGGTGCCTTACCTGCATCGTGGCGCAGGGAGAGGCTGAGGAGCATCACCAGCAGCAGGGCTGTCCTTGCGCTGAGCATGGCTCGTCCTCCCTGGGTGCTGCTCCGGCTCTTTGCAGGAGATCTGCTGTGAGCTCAGGCACAGAGATGCTGCAATTTATCCTGTTCCCCCACCTCCTCCCCATGTTAGCCCTTTTCCAAAGAATTGTGGCCACATTCGAGCGAAAGCCCTGTATGTTTTCTTTGGCTGAGGGGATTTCCGTGTCACGTGGGATCTTTGAGTTACCTAGAAAGACTGAACAGACTTGGGCGCCTTCTGCATTCGTTGAGGCAGGTCTGTGGGAAAGCCACAGAGTCCGCAAGGGAAGTGAAATCTTCCTCCACAGAGGCGTAAACGCAAGGGCTCCCAAACCTATGGAGAGGGGACTGGTGGCGATAGGAAAGGCAAAGCCTGGCTTTCCGTGCAAAGTCACTTTTCAGCCCCAGAGCCAACATAAAGGTGCTGGAGAGGATGGGACGGTTTATGAGCTCCCCAGGGAGTGTTAAGCACAAGTGCTGTGAAGTGTCCTCTGCGGTGCAAAAGCTGCAACATGTCAAATAATCTCAGAAATTGCATGATGTTCTGGGCTGTTCTCCACGGAGAGGAACAGAAGTTTTCCAACCAAAATCCCTGTTTATAGCTGGGAAGCTCAGGGTGGAAGGAGAAGGGGGTACAGCCAGGATGAGGCCGGCTCAGCCCCTCGGAAAAGCTGGTGTTCAAAGTTCTGGGGTGTTTTCCCACCATCTTCCTTCCCTTTGCAGCCTTGAAGCCTCCCAGATCCTGCAGGGACCTGCAGAAAGGTGTTGCAGATGGGGGGGTCAGCCTCGACTCTCCCTTCCTCACCCAACCACTCACACCACCAGCCCCTTCTGCAGGTCTTTGCTGGTCATGCACAGCCCTCAAGCTCACCCTTTCCCCATTCTATCTTTTCTCCAGGCTGTCAGCAGATGCATGGAGCAGCAGGGACCCATGCAGATCCCTGGAGCACCTTTGGAGCAGGACATTGTGCCTGGGACTGTGTCATCCCCAGGTGTCCTTTAAAAAACCTGATGCTGAGAGCTGCTGTGGTCATGCCCCAGTGTCCTCAACCCCAGCTGCAGAAGGAGACACATCTCCTGCTGAGAAAGGCTCAAGGAGCCCAGGCAGGATAGAGAATCACTGAAGGGTTTGGGGTGGAAGGGACCTTCAAGATCATCTACTTCCAACCCCCCTGCCATGGGCAGGGACCCCTCCCACTAGCCCAGGTTGCCCAAAGCCTCATCCAGCCTGGCCTTGAACCCCTCCAGGGATGGGGCATCCACAGCTTCTCTGGGCACCCTGGGCCACTGCCTCACCCCCCGCACAGGAAAACATTTCTTCCTCACATCTCATCTCCATCTCCCCTCTTTCAGCTTAAACGTACAACATGCTGAGGCTCTTCCCAGCCTCACAGAAATGATTGAAACACATCCTCGGGCTGCTCAGCTCCTGTGCAGAGATGGAGTCCTTACGGCTCAAAGCATGACTTGGCCCAGGGGGAGCTGGCGTAAGGCCACCCATGCTGCGTAGCCACCAGCGGACTGACAATACAGCATTTCTAATGACACCCCACCATCCCCCAGGGACAGTGCTGTTCCTTCCTGCGTCTGTTCAGCCCAACGACTCCGTGTCTCCCTGGGCTGTAATTAATTCCTGGTGCCCTCCTGCTGATCCCCAAAAGCATCCTTCCTTTCTCCCACATCTCTGAGGGCACTCCCTCCCCTTCTCAGCCATCCCCACTGACCCACAGGCTCCCTTCCCACAGGCTCCCAGCCCCTGGGGACATCCCAGCAAATGGCCCTTTGGAGACCACAGCACTCCAGCTGGGGACACCAGCCATCCTGCTGCTCCCAACACGTTTTTTTCTTGGCTGTGGTGTGCACAGGAGCAGGGCCCCCAAGCACAGGTGGCATGATGCTGTCACACTGTCCCGGTGTCAGCTGGGACAGAGGGAACTCTCTTCCCAGGGTGAGGCTGGGTTGGGTTTGTGCTGAGCAGAAGCTGATCACACACTGATGGTTACAGCTGCTGCCAGGACACTCAAGGACTTTTCCGCTTCTCTGCTGTGCCCGTGTCTGCAGGGGCAGGAGAAGCTGGGAGGGAGCACAGCCCCAGTGACCAGCCCAGGATTCGACCTCAGGGTTAGGACTGAGACCAAACTGGCCGATGGTCTGTTCCACCCCACGCACGGCATGGCCAGGGGATAGGTGAGGGGAACAAGCACCAAGGGAGGGCACATCCTGCCCTAACCATGCCTGGGGCAAAGCCTGAGGCTGGACCCTCATCAACACCAAAGGATTTGGGGATGGATAAGGATGGTCCCACTGCAAGTCCACGGCACATCCCCCGTGGGCCGGGGCTTCAGCTGCTCCTCAGCCATGGGGCGATGCCTGGGGAGGGGGACAGCCAGGGCAGCACACGGCGCTGGTGGCTGAGCGAGGACGGAGGCACCAGCCCAGGGAAGAGAGAAGAGACTGCTCTGGATGGAGAGGACCTTGAGAAGTGAAAATGCCAGTGGGGGCCTGCTTCTGCAGAGCTGTGCTTGCTTATCTGGCAGAAGCCATGGCCCGGGATGCTCCGCTTCCTCGTTCTCAGGTTTTCAAGCCATCGCTATCGCAGCCGGGCAATTCACGGCTCCCTGGGGACCCTTTGATATTTATTCCTTTACTTTTCGGGAAGGGAATGGCTGATGTGCAGTCATTAACTGAGGAGTGCCGGAAAGCCCCACAGGTGGCCCAAGTTCCTTTTTCATTTGAACGGCTCTGGAGAACTTACTTGATTACATAAAAAATAGCCAGCATCCTCTTGATTCTGCAAGAGGAGGAGGACCAACCTGGTAGCCTTTTATGATGATGTTACCAGGTGGATAGATGATGGTAAAGCAGTAGATGTGGGAGTGTGGGAGCCACCTCAGGTGCAGCCTCTGCCAGAAAACGTGCCAGCATGGGGAGGAAGGAGCTGGGCAGAACAAGCCCCATGCTCGGAAATGGGGTCTCAGCAGAGAACGGAGCACTCAGCTCAGCTGGAAAACAGCCCCAGTGGGTGCTCGGGAAGGCGCAGGCTCTGCACTGCAAAACCCGGCTGGAGAGAGGCAGCTGAGCATCGCCGAGTGCCTGAAACCTGCCTCCAAGAAGGCAGCAGGAGGCCTAGGAAAAAACTTCTCCCTATTATCTTCTGTTCTACCCAGTCCCTTTGATTCTTCTCCATTTACAATATGAAACAATCTCGTTTTTCTTCTATTAAAACCTCAACTTTGAGTGTAAAGCCCCTCCCTATTTCTTTGGGGCGCTCTGTTTTGAGGCTGCAGTTGACTCAGGAAACCATCACAAACCAAAGGCGATGCTCTCATTCCATCCCGGAGCCAGTGCTCACCCTGCAACTCCAGGTACCAGCGCCTACAGCTGGGAGAGACACTACCAAAAGAGGAAGAGCAGTCTCTTCCACAGCCTGCTTCCTGCGGCTGGACACTGGGGACCACCAAGTACTGGAAGCGGGTGATCCAAGCCGCATCCTGTGCGGTAAGTCCCGCCCAGCATCACGAGACCGGGAGGCTGCAGGAAGGATGCGTCCGGGAGCCCTTCCCCAGGGGATTATCTGCACCGAGCCACTGGGCAAGCTCGCCCACCGGCGCAGGGACAGAGCAGAAACCCACCACGGCCGGGCAGGGAGCCCTCACCACGACAGCCAAGGATGGAGGCAGGGGATGATGCACCTGGAGCAGAAACTGGAAGCAGCCACTTCTTGGCTAAGGAAGAGAAAAAAAAGGTTTCTATGCCAGTTTTCTCAAATGCACAGAAAAGGAGATATTTTTGCATTTTTTCTCCAGTGAGGTTGATCAGCTGCCTGGAGGTTAAGTGAAGGATGGAGCTGGGGTGTCAGGAGGAGCTGCTGCTCCCACGGGAGACTCTGCGCTGGAGAGGTTTCTGTGTCACGCAGCAGTCGGGGAAAGGATGCTGGTTGAGGACCCCTGCCTCCTTTTTTCAACCCTGGCCCCTTTTTGAGCTCCTGAAGTTAGAGACAGCATTGGAGAGCTGCTTCAGCTCATCTTCTAAAGCAGAGCTGTGATAGCAGGAAAAGAACAGGACATGGAAGCAATTTCAGCCTACTTTTTAGTGATTTAATTCTGAACAGAACTAGTCCTGCTAACTCCAAGGAAGCAGTGAAACAAGTTATGAATCTACTTGTTCCTTAGTTCTTGATTAGGATAAAACCCAGCAACCAGAAAAATAACTTCAGTTGAAAGAAGGTGATGAGAGGAATACACTAAGGTCCCCAGATACTGTAGTAAAAAAATTTTGTGCTGACTGTGGTCTGAGTTGGCAAGCTGACACCACATCCCTCCTTGGAGAGCTCCTCTAACTTCTTCCGAT